TGTTTGAGTACAGGTTGAGGGAGAGTCGTGTGATTAGATTTCTCCATATCTGGCACCAGCTTCTGGATGCATTAGGGGGAAAGAGTGATTAATTAAAGTAGTGGGATTGAGGAGCCAGATAGGAGAGGTAGGCAAAAAAAAAAAAAAAAAAAAAAAAACAAAGGAAAAGAAAAGAAAAATGATGTTGGAAAAGTTTGTAACTTTTCAATAAGTTTTGCATAAGAGACACAATAATTGAAATAGTAAAAGTGTTTTATATTTTAGTTTATAATTAGTTATTTGATCCATATTGTTTTACGGGTCAGATAATAATTTTTGATAAAAAAATAAATATGCAAGTTTTTTAAATAATTTTTAATTCTAATTATAAATCAAAATATGCATGTATTTAATTAAATACATCGAGAACTATTTATGCCTATAAATACGAAAAACAATATGTTAATAGATCTATTCAACTCCCCTCATTAAAAGGTCAAATAATTTTTTTAATAATTTTTTAATTCAAAATAATTAATGTGTAAGTATTATTAATATAAATCAAGTACCTTTTCAAGTTGAAGGAGACAACAATTTGTCCATACAACTTTGTTCAACTAAGAGTGGACAGCTCTTAACTGCTGTAAGGTGGTCACCAACTAGCAATAAGAGTGCTTTTCAGGATCCACAGTCACCAAGTAGCAATAAGAGTGCTTTTCAGGATCCACACAGCTTATGAATATGACTTCAATGGTGAGATTTTTTCCATCTCTTACTAGGAAGGACACAATTTTAATGGGTTAGAGAACTTGTGTTGCACGTAATTGACTCTTATAATCTTTTGTGGTCAAAAGCACCAAATTAAATATTTGCATGTCGATAATATGTTAACAAATCCCTCTGAAGGAGAGGATGCTATCATGTTAAGTCCCTTGAATTAATATTCTTTTTGGAATTCAGACTTGGAACTTAAATTTATAGAAAGTGGAGTCCAACATTATCAAAATATGAAATAATCTAGCTATTTATATTGATGATTGGCAAAGGCAGTATGATTTTCTTGAGATAAAAATAAAAATTGCCCTGTTTTATATGTGGCAATTGGTATGAAAAGTTAGCCGCTTTGGAACAGAAGAAGTAATCAACCCCTTTCAAGGTTGAGTTCAGACCTGGAAAGTATGTTTATTGTCTCAAATCATGCATTTGTTACTCCTTGGCAATTTCCGTCTCACTCCCTCTCCCCTGATTAACTTCAATTTTGTCTATTTGTCGAGCCAGAGCTCCCAGGGCATAAGCGTTGGAGCTGGGCAGTATGCTCCTACAACTGTTGGGGGACAGCCACGGCCAACAGGCATTGCTCCACAACCAGTGCCTCTCAGAGGAGGGCCAGACATGCACGGTTATTTAGAAGATGAGGAAACGATGAGGATCCGAACAGAGAATGCGAGTAGAGCGGCTGGGTGGAGGATAGAATTCAGTAAGAAAAGGGGATTTGAGGAAGCCTTTGCAAGCTTTTGCGTTTAGATTGTACCCCTTGATTGCGGAAATGGCTGTCCCTCGTGAGCCTGAGGTGCTCTCACCGGGCTATAGGCCTATATGCTATGCATATATTGATGAGGAGGATTGTTATCAGTAGGTTTACGCGGGGAACTTTTCCGAGACGATGATCAAGAAGTCAACCTACTGTTTCTTAGCCAGCAGATATTGCTTTGATGACGTGTCAGAACATCAGTCTGTCAACATAACCATGTGAACACGAAGCAATGTCACATCATGTGAGTGTAAAGTTGATCATTACTGATATCCTAGATGGTTTACCTTAGATTTATTTACTTTTTTATTTTGGTGACAAAGTTTACATTCATCACATCCTATCATTTAGTTAGTGAAACAACAACATTGTCAGCCTTCTTAAAGTTTTTTATTTGTGATGAACAAATCACTTTAAAGTTCCCTCTCTTACCTCCCTCGATTTTTTATGTTAAATTATTGTTATTATTTAATTTGATGCCTGCAATTGTTTTATTTAAACTTTGATGATATTACAGTACAACTATATTATTTAATTTACTGAGACGATGATCAAGAATGCTATTTTTTATTTTTTTAAAATTATTTTTCATCATCTTCTTCTAATGTCATAAAAAAAATGAGGTGTTTGTTAAAAATAATATATTTAACAAACATTTGATGATGGCCTCGGCGAGTCGATGCTGCATGCTTTCCCTATTTGTTTGAGATATTTTTCATATCGTCTTCTTCAGATGTCATCTTGAAGGCTACATCTTGCTTGTATATGCCCCATGGAGAATGCATTGCACTTGTGCTAACTTGACTTCGTAATGTGTATATAGGATTATTAATCCTTGCGTGCTCTCTATTATTCTCCAAGCTGTTCTTGTCTGTGAATCTACATTTTTCGTTGCTTCTATTTTTTTTTTTTGGTTCTTGGATTTTCTTAGGGAAACCTCTGGAGATTGAAACTTGTTTCTTGTTTACCATGATTGGTCAACCCATAATTCTGTGTTTTTAGGAAAACCGAAATGACATGAAGTTCGAGCTGGATCTTTCCATGGCCTGATAACTGCTTCAAACACTAGCTATGTGTGCGATTGTTTTATTAACAAAGCGTGGGGAAAACATTTTATTTTTGTTGTACAGCCCTAAATTAAAAAGGAGGCTAACCTGTTTACTTGGGGGAACGCAGGCCTAGAACCAGCGCAGGGCAACTCCACCTTTTCTAGCATTCTTCTTTTTTTTTTTTTTTTTTTTAATATTTTTACATGCTTGCTTTTTTTTCCCATGATTTACTTTTTTTTTAAAAAAAAAATTATATGTTTTTTCTTCTTTTTTTTGTTTTTAATATTTTTACATGCTTGTTTTTTCCCCCCATGATTTACTTTTTTTAAAAAAAAATTATGTTTTTTTTAAATTATTTTTCTTTTTTCTTAATTAATGGAGAATTTATCTTTGTCCTTTTTAAAAAAACATTATGAATTTTCTGTATGATTTTTTTTCTTTTTTCTTTTAGGATTTTTTTTCAAAATGATCATTTCTTTTTTTCTTTTTACATTGAGCTGATTGAAAATTTAATTTATAGTTTTTTTATAAAAAATATTGTAGATTATTAAGATTGAGAATTTAATTTATAATTTTTTTATAAAAAATATTGTAGATTATTATAATATTTTCCCCACATGGTTTTTATTTTACTACAATATTTCTTCACATGTTTTTTTTTAATTCTCTTTATTGAATTTATTTTTTTAATATTGAGCTGGTTGAAAATTTAGCTTTAGTTTTCCCTACATGTGTTTTTTCTTTATTTTTTTCCATAATTGCCTTCTTTTATTTGTTTTTTTTTATGTTATTTTAGAATTTTTTTTGTTGATTTTTTTTAATATTGAGTTGGTTGAGAATTTAGTTTTATAGTTTTTTTAAAAAAATATTTTTGATTACTATAATGTTTTTCTATATGATTTTTTTTCTTTGTTTTTTTCTAGAATTATCTTTATTAATTTTAGGTTTTTTTTCTTTGTTTTTTTTCCAGAATTATCTTTATTAATTTTAGTTTTTTTTTATATTAAGCTGATTGATAATTTAGCTTTGTAGTTTTTTTTTGAAAAAAACATTGTGGATTGCTATAGTATTTCTTTACATGATTTTTTCTTGCCACAGTGTTTCCTCACATGTTTTTTTATTGATTTTTTTTCTAAAATTATCGATTTTTTCTTGCCACATTGTTTCTCCACATGTTTTTTTATTGATTTTTTTCTAAAATTATCTTTGTTGAATTTATTTTTTTCATACCGAGATGGTTGAAAATTTAGTTTTGTAATTTTTTCTTTAAAACACTGTTGATTGCTAAAGTATTTCTCCACATCATTTTTTTTGTTATAATTTTTTAAAATTATCTTTATTAATTTTATTGTTTTTAATATTGAGCTAGTTGAAAATTACAACTGTAGATTTTTTCATGAAACACTATAGATTGTTACAGTGTTTTCTTGCATAATTTATTTTTTGTTTTTTTAATGATTTTTTTCAAAATTATCTTTATTAATTTTATTTTTTAATATTGAATTGATTGAAAATTATAATTGTATATTTCCTCACAAAACACTATAGATTTCTATAATGTTTCCATACTCAATTTTTTTCCTTTTGTTTTTTATGATTTTTTAATCTATGTTAATACACAAACATGCGGCGGACATGACAACTAGTTACCTTCGAGAGAGTGATATTCTTACCATGAAAGCGGCGATGCATGTTCTATATCAACTCTTATATGCATGTCGAGGGATTCTCAAAACACTCTCCACAGACTTTTATATACATGTCGAGGGATGCTCAAAACAATCTCCACAGCAGATGCATGCATGGATACCAATCTTCCGTTGGGATTGTATCAGCTTCAAAGTTGAGTGTCAAAACTTAATTAACGTGTGAAGAACAGGGAGATTAATTCCTGCTATCTTTCTTTCAATAATAAACATTTTTTTTTTTTAAAAAAATACGGTTAGAGCTAAAAATCAAAGAGTATCTAAGGATTTTTATTTTTATTTTTCGTGTGAAATCCTATGTTTGTTTCCGTACATGCTGTAATGTCCATCTCTCTCCCCTCCCCTGATTAAATTAATTTTTTCCTATTTATCAAGCAAGAGGCAAAACTCTCCAGTATAGAATCTTTCATTCTTTGAGTTAATTATAATTTTTATTGAAATAAATTAATTAATCCCTCTAATGTTAAGAGATAATCATATGGTCATTGACCAGCGTTGATCATTCTTAATCTGATAGTCTTTTATTTCAAAAAAAAAAAAATCTATTTTTTCCTCAAAGATCACAGCAAACAGCACCGACATGAAGTATTTGTGAAATTTATAATCCGAGGGTCGCCAGGATTTGGTTCAAACTCTCCTATCCAACGGAAACATAGCGTCTTACTCGATCTCTGTCTCTCTCTCTCGCCCACACACACACCAAGAAAAAAAAGAAGGTTATTGAGTTTTGTTAACATGGCAGCCAAAAAAATCAACAAAACATCTTCGTCGTCATCTTCCACAGCACCCTTCAAGAAACCAAGACGTGATGCAAAATGGCGTGCTATGATGAAGAGACGCAATGCCATCATGAAGAGAGGGACTTGTTTCGAAATCTTGAAAGAAGCTGCTGCTGGATGCAGTTTGGAAACGAGCCATGGGGTTACTTGGGCCAGATGTTGCCTACTTGGTAAAGGTGGTTATGGTTCTGTTTTTCTTGCTAAAAGAACAACAACAACAACAACAAGCGGTGGTGATCTTCCTGATAAAATTGCTGTAAAATCCGCTACTTTAGAGAAGGCGTCTACCCTCAAGCATGAAAAGAGGGTTCTTTGCGATCTTAAAGCAAGCCCTAATGTTATCAAGTGCTACGGAGATGAAATTACCGACACGGGTTGCGACGGAGAAAAAATCTACAACCTTCTCTTAGAGTTTTGTTGTGGGCTCAGTTTACATCGTCAGATTAAACTGTCAGGTTCTGGGTTACCCGAGTCTGATGTCAGGAAATATACAAGAGATGTTGTTAAAGGCCTGAAGTACGTTCATTGTCGCGGGTATATTCACTGCGATGTGAAGCCAGGTAATATCTTGCTCGTGCCTGGTACTGAAGAAAGGAGTGGGGGTTTTGTTGCAAAAATTGCAGATTTTGGATTGGCAATGTCCATTTATGAAAATCAGAATTGGGGTGATGATCTGATTGGGACATATCCTTATATGTCGCCAGAAGTGGTCAAAGAGAAGAGATATGATTACAGTGCAGATATTTGGGCACTCGGTTGTACTGTGGTGGAGATGTTGAGTGGTAAACCTGTATGGCCTCGCATGGATGTTCCAGGTTATTTGTATACGATAGGCGACAGTCAGGATTTGCCTCAGATACCAAGTTCTATATCTGATCATGCCAAGGATTTCCTGGGGAAGTGTCTTGTAAGGAATGCTGCTCAGAGATGGTCTGCGGACGAGTTGCTAGAACACCCATTTCTTTCGGTGGGTTAGTGGTGAAGAAACCCTAGTGATTCTCTGTGTTTAATGACGATTCTTATTTTTTTATCAATGATTTTTTTAATCTTTTCAGTAAACCATGTAACTGAGGTTTCGCAGGATTTAATGTAATATTGTTAATATGATATGAGAATAGTACAGTAAGGGTTTCCTCTGTCTGTGTCTCTGTTAAATTAGCTCATGTTTATGCTAACATCTATCTCCTTTTGGATATAACTAGATTGCTGGCACCGCGAGACGTAAAAAAAAAGAAAGAAAAAGAAGAAAAAAAGAAAAGAAAAGAAAAGAAAAGAAAACGATTATGTTTTTAAAAAAATAAAAGAAATTCGATAACTAAATTAAATTAAAAAATAAAAGTTAAAAGTAAAATAAAAATTAAATTAAAGAGTAAAAATAAATTTTTAATTTGAAAATTAAATTAAAAATATTAAAAAATAAAAAGAATAATGACTAAAATGAAAGGAAAAAAAATAATATATTATCAACTTGGATTGAATGATGAAATTATAAAAAACAATTATAAAAAAGTTAAGCAAAAAAAATAAAAAATCCAAAGAATAAGGATTAAATTGAAAACACATCAATAGAGGATAAAAAAATAAACATGTTAAATTTTTCAACATGTCTTTTTACATAAAAATTTCTAAATAAATATAAAAGAATTTATGCACACATCTGATTAGATAAATAACAAAATTTGTGTAAAGAAATGAAAAAAAATCATTAACAATAAATAAAAAATTAAAAAAAATTTAAGAGACAAATATAAATTAAGATATTTAATGTTATAACATGTGTTATTTACCTGATTGTGTTTGATATATTTATTTATGAAAATCTAATTTTAATAAAAATCAACACACACATAAAATTTATTGAAAAAATAAAATGAAAAAATTATTATATAAGGCTACACATATTACAAATATTATAAGAAATTAATATTGTTATTTTTCTTAAATAAATTTAATCTATATAAAATATGACAAAATAAAAAATGAATCATATTAACTTCTTCAAAAATTAAATACATTCAATATAATTAAAAAATAATTTTTCTAAAAAAACTAAACAAGTAAAAGAAATAACAAAGAAGTAAAATACAAACTTAAATTGATTTTTTAGAAAAAACATAATTTTTTTTTTAAAAATACTAGATATTATTAGGTTTATTAAGTCAGGCTAGCACTTGGCCTATGAAGAAAGTGCACCAATTTGTTAACCCCACAGTATCTTACTTGTCTACTAGGCTTACAGGATGTTCAGTAAATCCAGGAATTAATGGTGATACGTGTAAGCTGGCCCGGACACTCTGGATTATCCAAAAAAAAAAGAGGCCAGTGTGCATGCTTCTAAGGTTAGCTCCACATGCATTGACTTTTATTATTGTTTTTAAGTTAATGAGTTAATTTCTTTAAAAATTTATTTTTAATTTATTTTTAACTTAAAAAACTTAGAAAACACTATTGTAAACCTTTTTAAACTTGTTCATAACATTCAAAAACACAGAAACACCAGCTCAAAATCCAAAATCAACCTGAAACAAAATTTTTTATTGAGATTATATATGTTTTTTAGATATTTTTAAAGTAAAAAAACATTTAATTTAAACTTTATTCATTACATAAAATCATTTGATACAAAAATAAATCGTTTTAGTAGACCTATGAAGAAAGTGCACCAATCTGTTAACCCCACAGTGCCTTACTTATTTATTGGGCTTACAGGATGTTCAGTAGATTCAAGAATTAATGGTGATACGTGTAAGCTGACCTGGACACCCTGAATTATAAAAAAAAAGAGAGGCCAGTGTGCATGCTTCTAAGGTTAGCTCCACGTGCATTGACTTTTATTATTGTTTTTAAGTTAATGAGTTAATTTCTTTAAAAAATTATTTTTAACTTAAAAAACTTAGAAAACACTATTGTAAACCTTTTTAAACTTGTTCATAACATTCAAAAACACAGAAACACCAGCTCAAAATCCAAAATCAACCTGAAACAAAATTTTTTATTGAGTATATATGTGTTTTAGGTATTTTTAAAGTAAAAAAACATTTAATTTGAACTTTATTCATTACATGAAATTATTTGATACAAAAATAAATCGTTTTAGTAGCTCGAATCGTCACAATGACAATTTCTCCTTTTTATATTGGAATTCAGCAAGCCCCCCTCTCCTACCACAAAAAAAAAAAATTAGTTTGAAAAATAATTTTTTTAGAATTAAAGATATCGGTAACCTAATAACTAGAAAATATAAAGAACTAAAACAAACTTTTCAAATAAATTTTAAATCCACCACACCACCTATTTTTACCCAATTTTTCCACTTTAGACCCATATTTTTCAATTCCATCCTCCCTCTCCAAAAAACAATGCAAGATTTGAGATTAAAATTGCTCTACTGTGCAAAATAAAAATTTGAGAATCAAATTAATTTTTTTTTTAAATTCACTACTCACAATAAATAACACTACTGTGAAACCAGTAGCCTTTTCAGTGTCTTTTAATTATGAAAATAGTCGTAGTAAGTGCGGCTGCCTCGAAGCATTTTCTATGTCTACCGCAACTCATAGTTCTTTTCTCTGATAATACAATGCTATAAGCATAGTTTTAACGAATCATCTCTGATAAAACTGCCAAGAGATGCTTTTGAAACCACATCATGTTGATTAACAATGTTCCAAAGTAAGAGCCGCAGAATGAAGAACTGGTAGTCTTCAAAATTAAACTCCATTCCCTTTTTCCAGTTGAAGTAAAGAGATGGCAGACGCAGAGCAGTCATGAACAAGAAATATAGAAACAAACCCATTTTCAGGGCAGCAAACAATCTACTCTGATGAAACAAACTTTCATTCCATTATGCAGGGAAAACTTTTACATGGGTTGCCAAGCAGCTTGTGAATGTTACACGGAGCTTGGTCCCACTATATAACAGGCTCTTCTCTCATATGTTTGTCTATCTACAGAAGAAATGGTACATGTTAAAAGAAAAAAAGAATCAAGGAGAATAAGATTTACTTGGTCTTACAACAATCAAATCACCTAATTTCTCGTGATCTGCTCACAGCACAAGAAAAAAGAAGCCGCAAGTACTAATCATCTGGTTATATATCTTGGATAGAATGATCGAAACATGATCATGTAGCCATCTAAGTTGGTCTCCAGAAATTAACCATGAATAGAAATCTGACAGTCTTGTAATCCAACCGTACCTAGAGTTTCCCTCTTTGCATACAGGAATGAGCCCGTTGGGTGATTTCATCTTCTGAGCTAGAAATGACCCTTTCTGGGTTGGCATGATTACAGTGCAAGGGCATTTCTTCTGAAAATCTTTGAGATCATAGACTCGCTGATGGCACCAGGCATCTCTTCACCACCTTTACTGTCCTTCAAACTTTTGGCTTAATTCTGCACAATATGCCTGAAACTCTCGACAACTTCATGGTCAAAGGTAGCAATACGCCAATATGATGCTTCAGATTTACAGTTGATGAATATTCAGTTGAAGAAATATGGAGATCTAAGAACTTCTTGCAAGTCAAAGTTGCCTCTCTCAGGCAGAGATGGAAACTTCAATGTTGGATATGACGTCTGGAAGTCTTCAAGTAACTGAGGATAATCCAAGTTATTTATACAGGTCAACAATACTATTAATAAAAATAAATAAATAAATGAAACAATGTCATAATTGAGTTGATTCATATTTGAAATACAAAAAGGAAAAACTAATGCCAAGCAGTTATCTGGCTACTGGGAAGCTGGGAGAAGCCATTTCATATATAGAAGCATTCTAGTTAAGTTGCATGTTTGAGGCCCTTTTTCTTTTTAGTTAACTGTTCTTTTATTTTAAAGATCAATTCAGTGTTTATAGCCTCCAAAATTACTCGTTAGGAAGACACAATAATTCATAGTTCCTTTTGAAGACAATGACAAATGCTCGCTTATTAGGTCATGTCGGTCAGAGAGAAAAACTGGGTGATCACACGCCACTGCACTCACATTTTCAAGTATTGGCATGTTATAAAGCTCCACAAATTTTTCCCGCAGTATCCTATTCATCAAATCCACGTCTCTTGCATGTGTCCAGAAAGAGTCATGAACACCTGAAAAAGGAGATTCACTTCATAAGGATGTGGGGATTACAGATGATAGTGTTATGATAGCTGGAAACCATACAATGACAAAATTAACTGTCATACACATTACTGTTCATACTTGAGTAACACTTCTGGTTTCTCAACTCAAGTTATTAGGAGTACTTACCATCATTTGAAACTGCACTATCATAGCCTCATAAGTAGACATTTCTTATCCAGGATGCCTCATAGCACATTTATGTGCAAGTCAAACAGGATGAATAATAACACTCTGAATAGGTTTTAGTACGGATAAATACATGTGATTTTCTGATAATGCAATGACTTGCACTTACGGTAACATGGAATAAGTTCAAAAGAAATCAAAGTTAAAGGGAAGAAAGGATGAAGAACTAGGTCCATCATAGTAGCAGTAAACTCACAAAAATTAGCAGACCACAAAAAAAGCTCCAACGAAAAACTAACATTAACTCGGGCATGTAGTGGGGCTAAGCTGGCTTAGCTACAGAGATATGAAGAATTACATTAATTGTTCATTGTTGTATCAAGTTACTAGAATATAGGATAACTTATCATATCAACCCAAAAAGTACATTCTGCTAGGCTTAAATTAGCAACTTTTGAGAGCTTAATGGACAAAATAAAATAAATGGCTTACATGCTTGCCAAGCTCAAACCATATGTCAAGGTTCAGTTTATCAGTCAGGTATCAATTATCATTAAACAGTAGAATATTAATTCCCACCATATATTGTTTGCAACAGACCGAACAAGTTGAAACTTGAACAAAAAGTTAACCCAACTATAAAAGGTAATGATATAAATAATAGCTCTACATAGACAGTTTGAAAAAGACATTCTTCAACTTCTTCATTCATCAAAGACATAGAAG